CCTCCTCCTCTTCCACATCTTCCTCCTTTATCCTCCTCCTCCTCCACATCTTCCTCCTCCTCCTCCACATCTTCCTCCTCCACATCTTCCTCGTCCTCCTCCTCCTTCCTCTCCTACCTATCGTAATGGTGGTGGAACATCGGCCCCGCCATGTCTTCGCTAAGTTGTCCAAGGAGTGTGACCCCAAGCGTAGTCGTCAAGACTGCTTGGATAAAGCTCAGCAGGGAGTGATGGCTCAAGCAGGATAGCCAAGCTGAGCGAACCAGGCGTGCCGCGGCGGGTAAGCCCGCTCAAAATTCGTTTGCTGTTTAGTGTCTCTCTTAGTAACCGACACGGTCGCAATATCCGTAACTACGTAGTAACACTCCTTCTCCTCCTCCCCTCCTCCTCCTCCTCCTCCTCATCCTCACATCTTCCTCTCTTCCCTCCTCCAAACTCACATGTTTCCTGTTCCTCCTTCATCTACTCCTCCTCCTCCTCTCCTCCTCCTCCTCCTCCTACTCCTCCTCCTCCTCCTCCTACCTCCTCCCTCCTCCTCCTCCTCCTTCTTTGTGTTCATTCCTCCTTTGTTCTCCTCTTCCTCATACTGCTTCTCTTCCTCCTCCTCCTCCTCCTCCTCAGCTTAGGATTCCAAAAAAAACAGTGTAGTCCGAGGATCGTTGCCGTGGTCTCTGCCCCACCCCCCCTCCTCCTCTCCCCCATCCTCCTCCTCTTCCCGCACCTCGCCCCCCCTCCTCCTCCTCCTCATTCCCCCTCCTCCTATCCCTCCCATACAGGAGGAGCTCGACCACAAGAAACTTTTCACAAGAAACCCAACCCTGAGACCCCAGGACGTCCACTGATCTTTGGGGTGTGGACGTCACGCTGTCCATCCTAGAACCATCGAAACCCAAGAAACCCAGGGCACCCTGGAGAAGAGCAAGGCGTCTCTTGGCATGGGCTTCCGCTGCAGCCGCTCCCCCGATACGGGGAGGGCCACATGCCACTGAGGTAACACCCGTTCACCTTTGCTGGTGCACCGAGGGGACCACCCAAAAAATTCCCTGAGATCCGACGCCTCGAAAAACTGAAGTAGGGGGACAAAAAGTGACATAAACATAAAAACTCGGAGGTCCGCGCGGATTTCTCGGATCGGCGCTGGGGCCCCCCGGCGGCGCCTCCGGCGCCGCCCCTGGTGCGCTCCTCGCGCCGGGGAGGGGGGGTCCAGCGCCGATCCGAGAGATCCGCGCGGACCTCCGAGTTTTTATGTTTAATGCCACTTTCCCAGGGATCCGATGTCGTGATTTTTTCAATACGGGGTCCCCAGAAGTCTCAACCCATTCCCCGGGATCGGTTTCTCAGCCTGAGTCGTTTTTTGACGGTCCCAGGGCCCGGCGAGGGCCCCTCGAGGCCGAAAAATCAGAAAAACCTCCGTCTTGATTTTTTCAGTACGTTGGATCTCTGGGTTTTGTTCCCCTATGAAGCACCGTGAAAAATCACGACCGGAGCCCCGGACCCCATCTCCCCGCGACAGTCTTGGAGCCGGCTCGACCTGCGAGGCTCCCGGCGCCGGAGAGAGGGGGCCGAGGGCTCGCGCGGCCCGCAAAAAGGGAGCCGCGCCAAGGTCTCGGGGTCGACGAGGGGATCCCTGACGCGCGACGCCCGGATGCTTCCTCCTCCTCCCCTCCCCCCTCTCCATCCTCCTCCTCCTCCTCCTCCTCCTCCTTCCTCCTCCTCCCTCCTCCTCCTCCTCCTCCTCCTCCTCCTCCTCCTCCTCCCCTCCTCCTCCTCCTCCCCCCTCCCCCTCCTCCTCCTCCTCCTCCTCCTCCTCCTCCTCCTCCTCCTTCTCCTCCTACGGCACTCCGGAAATCCGGACCCTTTCCCCGGGGCCAGCTTGTCAGCCTGAGCCGTTTTCTGACGGCCCCGAGGCCCGGCAAGCCCTCTCCCTCCATCTTCCGCACCCTCCGCGCGGCAGGTTCCACGCCGCGGCGGCCGCCGCCGCGGCCGCCAGTGCGGCTTCCGCCGAGGTTCGCAGCAGCGGATTCGGCGGCGGGCTTCGTTCCGCCCGCGGCGCGGCCACCTGCCGCGCGGCTCGCCCTCCCCTTCCGCACCTTCCGCGCGGCGGGTGCCTGCGCCACGGCCGGCGCCGCCGCCGCCGAAAACAGCTGCTGCGAGCATCGGCGAAGCCGCAGTGGGGGCCGCGGCGCGGCCTGCTGCGGCTTGGAACCTTGCGCGCCGCGAAGGTGCGGAAAGCTTGAGGGTGAGGGAGGGGGAGAGGAGGAGGAGAGGGAGGAGGAATGAAGGAGAGGCGGAGGAGGAGGTGTAGGAGGAGGAGGAGGGCCCCCCCCCCCCCCCCCTGGGCCCTGTTGCTCCTCGCGAGTCGCTCTCTGACCCTCCCGGGGCCCCGCGAGGGCCCCATAGGCCGAGAACGCGGCCGGCAACCTCCAGTCGTCCCTCTTTCCAGGACGCCTGCGTGCCTTCATGGGCCAGCCTCCCACCACTACCACCACCACCACCACCACCACCACCACCACCACCACCACCACCACCACCACCACCACCACCACCACCACCACCACCACCACCACCACCACCACCACCACCACCACCACCACCACCACCACCACCACCACCACCACCACCGCTAGAGCAGGGTGACGGGGAGAAGAGAGAATGCGGAGCTCCTCTCCTCTCCTCCTCCTCCTTCTCCGCCTCCTCCTCCTCCTCCTCCTCCTCCTCCTCCTCCGCCTCCTCCTCGATCCTCCTTCCTCTCCTAGAGCTGGGTAGGGTAGTGGACATTTTGGCCCGTCGTGTCTGCGTTTTCGGACCATACCTCCGCTCTACGGCAGCCGTCCGGGACGACCCGGACACCCCTGGCAAGCCCTCGGAGCGGCGCAGCTGCTGGAGAGCCGCCCGAGGCTGGACTGCCGCCGAGGACCGACGAACACACGCTCGAAGACCTCGAACCCCGAACACCCCGAGCCTCGAAAACGCTCGCGACCACCTCGAGCCTCGAAAACTTCCAAACCTCAAAGCCTCCCAGCACCGCCGAGGACCGACGAAGGCCCGGGCGGCCCCGGCGCCCGCCCGCTCTCGGCATGGGCTCCGTCGGCGCCGGCGGCGGGGCTTTCGGAACGGCTTCCGGCGGCGCCGGCGGCGGCGGCGGCGCCGCCGCAGCCTCGGTGAGCCTCCTGCGCTCCTGCTCGCGGGCGATGTCCTGGGAGAGCACCAGCTATACCCAGACCCCCCTCCTCCTCCTCCTCCTCCTCCTCCTCCTCCTCCTCCCCCATTCTTTTTCCTTGTAAATAAGTTCTCCCTGTCGCACCCTGAAGCCAGTTTTTAGGGCGGGCCGGGCGTTTCGCCTCAGACTTCCTCATATCTATGACTCTGACGCAAGAAAAGTTGGCAACAGTTTCACAAATGGAGGGCGGGTGGTTTTCAAAATGTGGCTCTCGCCTCAGCGCCGCGCGCATTCGTTCTAAAACATTGCAAGAGCTTCACGGATTGAGGATCACCCGTTTTCAAAATGTGGCTCTCGCCTTAGCGCCGCGCGCATTCGTTCTAAACATTTGCAAGAGCTTCACGGATTGAGGATCACCCGTTTTCAAAATGTGGCTCTCGCCTTAGCGCCGCGCACATTCGTTCATACAATCTGCAAGAGCTCCACGGATTGAGGATAACCCGTTTTGAATATGTGGCTCTCGCCTTAGCGCCGCGCACATTCTTTCATACAATCTGCAAGAGTTTCACGCGTTCCCACGATCAACGTACCAGAAATGGTGTTTTGGAAGGACTCAAGATCTTGCGGGTGCAACAGTTACGATGATTCGCGGTGTCGAAATCTCAAGAAGTGCGTTCTGGCGCGATCCAAGATCGTCAAGACGCACAAGTCATGTTGATCCGTGGCGTTGGAATTCCGAGAACAATGTTTTGGCATGCTTCTGGGTCTTCAAACGGTTTTCTTCCAACGAGGCAGACCCCTGAATGGAAATTAACCGTTGTAGGGGCCTATGAAGAGGGAGCTTGGAGGGAGCGTGTATTCCAACATCGTTGATGGCCCTTGGGTTTACAGTGGTCCTCCTCCTCCTCCTCCGCCTCCTCCGCTGCTCCTCCTCCTCCTCCTCCTCCTCCCTCCGCCCTCCGCCCTCCTCCCTCCTCCCTCCTCCCTCCTCCCTCCTCCCTCCTCCTCCTCTTCCTCCTCCTCTTCCTCCTCCTCCTCCTCCCTCCTCCCTCCTCCATCTCCCTCTCCTGTCCTCCCCCTCCCTCCTCCCTCATTCCTCCTCCTCCTCCTCCTCTTTCTTCTTCTTCTCTTCTTCTTAATCTTCTTCTTCGTAGTGTATTTCTTATTATTATTATTTCGTCTTATTTATTTCTGTATTATGCTTCATTAGGTGTAATTTTTCCTATATTATTAGTATTCTTCCTCCATCCTCCCCTACCACTCCTCCCTCCTCTCGCCTCCCTCCTCCTCTCCCCTCCTCCCTCATCCCTCCTCCCCTCCCTCTCCCTTCCTCCCTTCCCTCCCTTCCTCCCTCCTCCTACTCCTCATCCTCCTCCCCCCTCCCCATCCCTCCCCCCTCTCTCATCCTCCTCCCTCCTCCTCACCTCCTCTCCTCACCTCCCTCATCCCCCCTTAATCTTCTTCTTCCCTCCCACGACTCCCTCCCCTCACCCTCCCTCCAGCCTCCTCCCTCCCTTCCACGTCCCTCCCTCCCTCCCTCCTGTCTCCTCCCTCCTCCTCCTGCTCCTCATCCACTCCTCCTCCCCCCGATGCCCCCCCCCTGTCCTGCACCGCCGTGCGCAAACCCTCGCGCTCCTGCTCCAGCAGCTCGCGCGCCCGCGAGGTCCTCTCGGCTTCCTGCTGCGCCCGGTCCCGCTCCTGCTGCGCCCGGTCCCGCTCCAGCTGCACCCGGTCCTGCGAGGGCGGCGTGGGCGTGGGCGCGAATTCACGGGGGGGCGAAGGAGGAGGAGGAGGAGGAGGAGGAGGAGGAGGAGGAGGGGGAGGAGGGGGAGGAGGAGAAGAAGGAGGAGGAGGAGGAGGAGGAGGAGGAGGGGTGGGGGGGGGGGGAAAGCCTGGGCCCGAGCCGCGCCCGCCCAGAGGGGGCATCGCGCGCGCGGGCTCGGGCGAGCGGGGCCATCGCCCGCGGCCGCTGGGCGGCTGACCCTGGACCGCTGCTCGTCGTCCTGGCGGCGTGCCACCAGGGGCGAGCACGGCCAAGCGGGTTCGGTCCCCAGCTTGGCACCGGCGCTTGAGGCGCCAGCGAGGGGCGGCGAGGACCCTGCTCCGCGTCCTCAAGGCGCGCAGCATTCTGGACCTCCATCACAGTGCGGGCTCACCACCTTTAGAAGCCATCTCAGAGCTGCTCGCGATGGCTCAACGTGGTGCTGGGTCTCGAGGAGGGGGGCACGCTCGTGACCATGGAGGGCATGCTCGTGATCAGGGAGGGCGTGACCAGGGAGGGCATGCGCGTGAGCAACGAGGGCATGCTCGTGATCAGGGAGGTCGTGACCAGGGAGGTCGTGATCAGGGAGGGCAGGCTCGTGATCAGGGAGGGCATCGTGATCAAGGGCGACGTCGTGCAGAGGACGCGGTCCCTGACTTTCGTGCGGAGGCCAAGGAGATCATCGCTTCGGCCACCATGTGCACGACGGCATATGCTTTGGCATCGCCCTACTACCGAGGCCCCCCCTCAGCTCGGGAAGGTCTCGCGCGCTACCGCGAGGACGTGGCTTCCAAGATGAAGGTGCTTGCAGAGTTTATCGCACGAGCACGAGTATCCCAGCTAGACGCGTCGCACCAGGAGAAGGAGCTGGCCGTTCTCAAGTTCATGGCCTGGTCTGCGAAGCCGCAGTCGGTCCGTGAGAAGGAAGCGCTCGACGGGATCAGCAAGGCCAACGGGAAGATGGAGGCAGTACGACGCCAACAGCGGGACCTTGAGATAGAGATCCTGTTACAGGAGGCGAACGTGAGGTACTGGACCGACCTCCTCACAGAGGCGCGCAACCTGCCGCCCGAATCTCCCAGCTCCGACGAGTACGGTCATGATCGAAGGAAGGCTCTTTCGATCTCTATTGCGCGCGACCCCCCAGCTGTTCGAGCCCCGCATCCCCCTTGTGATGATGTTCAGCCACTACAACAGCCTACTCAGCACTCGGCCAGAGGACTTGGTCTTCCTCTTCAGCCTGGTCTTCAGCGTGACCACCGACCGCCGACATCCTCTTCTCCAAATGCCCCAGTGGTCGATGGCAGGCACATACGTGGCATCACTACTTCTGCCCCTGTCCAGCCGCGTTCACCTCCTCCTGTTGCCCATGCTCCTACCACCGAGGACTTTCAGGCGACCCAGCTTTCCACGGCCGCGAGTTCTAGCCGCACGAACATGGGAATGCCTGCTACTGCAGCTCCGCCCTCGCCTGCGCTGCCGAAGACACCCGCGAAGATCTTGAGGACACCAGTTGCCTCACCTCCAGCGCGTTCGCCCCAGGTCATCACGGAGACCAGTGAGATCACCATGATGAGAAAATGGCTTGAGGAGCAGATGACGATGCAGGGCCGTGCCATTCAGCAGATCAAGAAGGAAGTCCGCGAACGCGATGATCGCCACGCCCATTTAGCTCCACCCGCCGGCCAAGCTCAACCTGCGAGCTCGGCAGTTGCTGACCTACGACCTCATGAAGCCAACAGTGCACAACAGGCTGAACTGGAACGGACCATTGCCGAACGTAACCAGTTGGTGGAGGAGTACACATTTCAACAGGCCGAACTTCGTCAACACAAGATCAGGGAGGAGTCCTACAAGCAGTTCGAGCACCAGCAACGTCACCAGCTACAATTGGCCGAGAAGCTAGCCTACGAGGCGCAGCGCAGAGAGCACGACAAGACCTTCACCTACCAGCAGGAGGTCTCCGAGACGCATGTCATGATGGAGCAGGCCGAGTCCACCAGGCGCAACCAGAGGGAGTACTGGGAGACGCTCAAGGCACAGGATGCAGAGATGCAGCAGCTCAAGATCATTATGGAGCACCAACATCGGTACCAGCAGGAACAAGCCTACGAGATGATGCGGATGCAGTTTGCTGAGGCCCGTGACCAGGACACCGAGCTCCTACGACGTCAGCAACTTGAAGTGCAGCAGCTTCGTGAACACCTACAAGCTAGTGAACGCATCCAAGCTTCCGAACGCGCTGCTCTCCGCAAGGGGCTTCATGATGTCCGTGAGGAAAGAGCCGAGGCAGCTCGTCAGGCTTCCATGATGGCAGAAGCTCTTGATGCTCGTATTCACTCGGAGCTTGCCGAACTCCAACAATTTGGGGATCTTGGAGCAGATGACACTGTTGAGGACCCATATCATGATCTGGATGGAGCTGCATACATGGCCGACCTGAAGAGCTCTGACTTCCTTGAGGAAAACAATGCAAATGGCCCTACATCTTCTACCATGCCCGCTGCCCCGCTCGACGAGGGCACCGTACATGAAGACGACGGCCACGCCCAACGGACTTCGACCTATACGGTACCGCAGCCAAGGACTGCGGCACCGGCTTCCTCGCCTTCGACCCCAGCCTCATCGACAGCTACTTGGGCGCCTACCCTCACGAGCTCTCTGGCATCCATCGGAGCAACACCCAACCTCAGCAATATCGTTGGCATGATCGGCAGGCAGGAGAAGGGTATCATACCCCTCCACGATTTCGTCCTGAGCTCCCCTCCTAATCCAAGCCTCGCTGAATTGACTGGTGACAAGACGGTGTTGGTCCCCACGCATGACGATACCGAAGAAGATGAGTGTTTGCGTGAACCGCTACCCAGTCAGCTCGTCCTGCCCCCTAGCCAACAAGCCCTGCTCGAGGCCGACGTAGTGGAGGAGCTCACCTTGCTCGAAAATGTGCAGACGGAGGTCGAGGGTACCGCAACGCCTGAAGTTGACAATCATGATCGCATACGTCGTGAGCTTGGTGGAGAACTAGCGAGTGACTCTTTCGAGGAGCTGGAGAAAGCTCAAAGGCGCATGCTACAGATCATCCATCCTGACAGGCATCCTGGATCGCATCTGCTGGGAGCTGATGCTGAAGATGCCCATGACCATGGTGCAGTTCCAGGTGATACGGGTGAACATCATGCTGATCATACTCTTGCCCCTGCCGCCACCAGATCCGAGAACCCCAGTACAATGGTGATTGAGGACTCTGAGTCGGACCTCGCAGACGAACACCAGGCAGTACCAGATGACGTTGATCCTCCAGGCTTTCCAGGAACAGGGCTTAGCTCAGACACAGGCGGCGACACCGAGCCTCCTGGCCCTGCGAGGAAATACCAGCGTGCACCGCCGAGCATGGTTCCTTTCTCCAGTGCACGCACCAGGCGTACCGCAGCGCGTGGCTCACTCCCCACTGCTTTAGGGGAATGGGCCCCTCCTGACGGAGGGGCCCGACACGACTGATCAAAGCGCCGAGGCGCCGTCCAGGTTCATGCTGGCTACATCCCTGGACAAGAACTATTGCAGCCACATAAGAGCATATCATGATCCACAGGCGCATGCCGACTGCGAAGGATCTGTAGTTTCACCTTGCCGTGACGGTTATCTTGAGGTGCTACGGCTTCGGGGAGGAGGAGATGGTGGAGATGAGGTGGATCCTCTTTTGCCTACGCGAACCTTGGGAAATCGTGCACAAGCCACAGTGCTCCTCGATTCCAGCTCGCCTGAGCCCGACCAGGAGCTTTACCACGGTGCGGAGGATAAAGACGACATGCTGGTCTCCGCCCAACTACTTGAACACGGACATCAGTCATGCTCGATGTCTCCTTGTTCCCCTACATTCGCGCTACCTGGTCCCTCTGCGACTAGCAGCGTGCCTCTCTATGCACCCTTCTTACATAGTGTGGAGGAGCCCGTGGCGATCAGCGATTCCGACACGTTGACTGTTGTCCCAGAGATGATGGACCCTTTTGAAGTCATCGAATTTCGAACAGTTCGTGTGCGTGATTCTGCGTTCTCCATTCCTAGTGGTTGTGACTCGCTCTTCTACCCCGAGTGCATCCCAGCCAACAAGGACCCTGACAAAGTTGACAGCGTCCCTCAGGCTCTTCGGCCCCTGCGGCCGCAATGTGACGCGCACAGTCCTTCCCTGGAACGTGCGGCCCCTGTACCATTAGCTTCTCCCGTGGGCATGGTGGTGAACATACTGAGTAGCCCCTCTGCCTCTTGCCCAGTGCAACGTGGTCGACGACAGGACCCCGCTGGCGGCCAAGCACTAAGTGAAGTCGACTCTCTTCGAGACGACGCCCCTACTTGGACGAGTGTACATCAGGGTTTCCTACACTGTCCACTTGAAGTACCTGTTCCGCTTAGCCTAGAGTACCAGTACAACCCATGGTACATACGGCTTCGCCGAGATCTTGCTGCAGTCTCTCTTCACGAGCACACTCAAGCAGCCCTGCGTCTTGTTGCACCTCTGCGTGGACGCCCCAAGCGGATGGTGATCTACACTGACGGCAGCTACTGGCCTGATGATCGGCATCTTTCAGCCTTTGCCTGTGTGGTTTTGGCTGACGACGGCGAGACGATTTCCTTCGAGGGTTTCTTCGCCAGCCTAGTCGAGAACGCGTTCAACTTTGAATGTGTCGACTACATCACCAGCGTCTCCACCGAGATGGCAGGATTGGTATGGGCGTTACTGTTCTGCTTGCAGGTGGACGAGGGCATCCAGTTGGAGGTCATCTGCGATTGCCTTCCTGCTATCGACGCTGTCATACGGAGGTGGGGGTCATCGGATCCCTTTGTGTCGATCGCCTGCCACCTCTACGATTTCCTCAAGACCCACCGCTACATCACTATTGCTCATACACACGGTCACGAAGGAGACCCATGGAACGAGTGCTGCGACGTTATCGCCAAGAGCATGCGACACCAGCGT